CGCCCCGCCAGGCCGGGGGAGCTGGACCGGCGCGCAGCCCCGCTGGGCTCCAGTCTCCCGCCGGCAGCTAGTGGGGGCCGCACGCAGGCACTGGTGGGCGACTGGACCTAACTGGACCCGTGGGAGGAGGGAGAGCACAGACGCCGAGCCCCCGCAGGCGGCTGCGTCTCACCGAGCTCCGGGCGGCGCAGACTGCACGCTCCGCGCCGAACCTCGGGACAATGGGGCTGTGGCGGCTTCTGTTGGTGGCCGCGGGACTCAGCCTGTGCTGGCCCCTGCTCTCCGCCCGCACCCGGGACCCGGACCGCAAGCGAGGTGAGACCTGCTTTTCTCTCAGGTCACTTCTGACGGGGCAGCTGGGACCGCGGCGGGGACGGGTAGGGGGAGGGGAGGCGCTGAGGGTGGGGGCTCCCGGCTACCGATTGCGCCCTTTCTGTGAGGAGGGTGCCTCTGACCGCACCCTGTGCCTCAGTTTCCCTTGAAACCAAACAGGCGTTAGGGCTGAGGCCGCGTGTCCTGTCCCACCCACCCAGCCAATGTCCCTTCAGACTGGGCTTCGGAGGATGCGGCCGGACCGCGACCCACCGGGCTTTAGAGATGGAGGCTCCCGGCGTCGGCTTTCCAAGCCTGTGGCCGCTGGCGCATTTGTTGTCGCTGTGTGGCCTGTTCATCTCCAGGACCAGCCCCCAAGAGAAAGGGTCTCACGTCGCTCCACCAATAAACATTATGGCTTTTTCAGTATGAAATGGAGAACTGCACCAACTTGAGTGCTGTTTTGTTGAGAGAGTATTTCTCGCACATTTCACGAAGGAGGAAAGTGGCTTAGACAAAAGCTCACTCACTCCCTTGGTCCGTGGAGTAGAAAATGGTGCCAGATAGAGTGGTTGCGAGACCGCCACTGGCTGGCCGGTTGGTGGCACTTGTCGGGAAGTTTTGTTTGTTGCTACTCGGGACCTCTTCCTTCTAAGTGAGGAAAGGCATTCCCTGCCACCATCTGATTTTAATATTTCAGTTCCCAGTGCTCAGAGAGGTTGCCATTAATTAGATGTCCAACTACTTGCCCAAATAAATGTATTTTCCAACTTTTCCTCTTCAAAAGCAAGAAAGAGAGAGGAGTTGTTTTCAGCTTGTACCGACACTTGTTAAAATGTAGGGAAAAGCAGTTTTTGTTTCCTTTTAGTTATGATACTTTGTAAGATGGGTAACTTTTTTTCTTTTCTTTTCTTTTTTAATGCAAAAGCAAATTCTGGCTGATTTCCTTATCAGTGAGAGATTGTCTATATGACTTCCATGCTGGAAATAGTATGAACATAGCAAGATTAAGAGGAGACAAAGTACATTTCCTCTGCCCTCCTACTTGGCTCAGGGTGCATTTGGAAGGGGGTGCTTTGTGAAAATTTACAGTCCCAGGTAGGGACCCAAAAGTTTACAACTAGCCACCCTGCCTGTAGGTAAAATGAACTTTATCTCTGGGGTTATTTGGACAAAAATAGAAAACCTGGAAACTGTGTGGTAAAATGTGATGTCAGATATTACTGTGTAATTTTATTTTAGGACAAGCTCTTGAAAATACAAATTTTCATTGAGATTTGGATGGGGGAGTAGGAAATACCTTCACACAGATGTGTATTCTCAGTAGTCACCTTTCCTCATAGGTGTCCTAGGAAGCTTTTGGCCTCATTTAGAGAGTGAAGTTGAGGCTGCCATTTACTTCCTGTAGACTTAGATGGTGCATGCTAAGGTGTAGACAGAAACAACACTACAAAATTTAACTGCTTTGTCTACACTGGATCCTACTTTGGAAGGGTGAATAGGAAAGAGGATGATAGAAAAACAGGTAACTGTTGATTCATGTCACATTCCATGTCAGTCCAGGGGGTAGATTCACGTCACATTATCTCATTCTCCCTCTCATATCACATTATGAGGTAGGTGTTTAACTTTGATGATTGTGAAGTTAAAACTCAGAGACAGTAGGGGAGAGAGCCCTGGATGCATGGATTACTCTTTAGAGAGTTTTTAAATCACTAATAAAATCAACCAAAATAAGCCTCCTATATATTACCATTGAGCGCTAGAATTTTTTTTAAGATTTATGTATTTATGCATACAGAACTGTGGTACAGGCCAGAGGTGCAGGGGGTGAGAGGATTCAGCAGAGACAGTGGGGAGCAGAACAGGCAGGTATATTGAAATACACTGCTGAGGGGAGCAAGGCGGGGGGTCAGGAGAGGTCTGCCATGACATGCAGGTTACCCCCTGGACAGGGATCAAACTCAGAGCACTGGAAATTTTAAAAACTTCAGCTCTGTGATAAAAGCAGCTTGAGACCCCAGCCAACAGGAAATCCCGCCACAGCTGACCCCACCCACCAGTGTGAATTCTTCCCAGGCACACTTGGACTTTCTATTTCCACTCATTTTGGCATCTCTTGCTTTGTCATTTTGTTGGTATCTCATTTCCCTGACCAAGAATATAAATTTCCACTTACCCACATAAAGTCTAGATCAATCTTCTAGAACAAATTTCTGAGAAATGTGTTAAGTCTATTAACAAGTTTACGTTCCCATGTCAAGGTTATTTTAGTGAAATGACTTGCCTTCATCAAAGAGGGTCCGTGACAAGGAGGTGATGTGTGATGTGTCTAAATTTTGTTAGCATCTATCCAGTCATCATATCATATTGTACGCCTGAGACAATACTTACTATGTGTCCCAATAGACAAAACAAAAAATTTTTAAATATTTTTATAAGGATCAGGAGGGTGAAAAGGTTCAAGAATGGCTGAAAATGGCAAGAGGGGTCTGGGTGCTACTTTCCTGCACATGGGGTCAAACCTGATTCCTTAGCATAGTGAAATGCCCCTATCCTTGCAGGATGGGTCCCTAACCTCTGCCCAGCCCCATTACAGATATGACCAGTTACATTACCTGTACCACACCCAACCCAGCCTAGTAGCTCCTCCTCCAAGAAGCTTTGCTTTGTCTGGCTTCCTTGTCCTGGCCACTCCCGCGACCCAGAATGCCTTCTTCTCATTCCACATGTTCACTCTTAAAAGTTATCCTCTGTCAGGTACCTACTCAACCAACTTCCTGCTTAGGTACATTACATATACAGTCTTACTTATTCCTTGTATAGCAAGGAGTAACTGCATAACAACCCTTTGAATAGATGTCATTCCCATTTTACAAGTAAGGAAACTGAAACCCAGGATCATTAAGTCACAAGTCTAGCTAAAACAGGAATTGATCACATGTCAGTCTTTTTAAAGTGCAAGCTTTCTCTACCATTCCCTATAGAAAAGAAGCCATCTAGACCTCCAGGCCCACTCTGTTCCCCCGTACCTCTAGAAGGTAAAGTCTGTGCCTCACTGGCTTGGTAGCTCAGACCCAGAACTTGGAGGAGTCTGGTAAACATTTATGGCTTGCCTTGTGGCCATTTACTTTTGCTAACAGATAAGCAGACTATAAATAGATCCTTACTGGTGAGTATTCCAATTCATTGGCTTTTACTCAGAAACTGCACTCTTTTTAAAAAAGATTTATTTATTTATGAATACAAGAACTGGGGTGTAGGCCAGAGGTGTGGGGGTGAGAGGATTTACCAGAGACAGAGTGGGGAGCAGAATAGGCAGGTGTACTGAAATACACTTCTGAGAGGAGCAGCGGGCGGGTCTGCCACGCCATGTGGGTCACCTCCCTGGCCTGGATGGAACTGGTGCTGCAGTGGCTGCAGATCAAGCTTCATGGTGCTGCACTTTAACCCACTGAGTCACCAGGGAGGACCAGAAACTGCAGTCAAACTGAGTAGAAAACAAAAGCTGGGCATTGATTCTGGTGTAAGCACACCAGAAACCTCCACAAAATCTGAAAATCAGTTCTCATGAACAGCAAGTCATTTTCTACTAAAATGTCTATCTAAATGAATTTCTGTTCTCCTTTACTCCCTCCCTCTCTCCCTTCTCTCTCTCATGCATACTTTTATTCATTTATTGTGATTCTGGCTTTGGTTTTACCAGCCACATCAAGATAGTACCGTCCCTCCTAGCTTGACCACTTTTCCCTTGTGTGAGATTTTATTGAGGTTTCAGACTCTTTCTCAAGAATATTCTGCTGTCTTCTCTGCTGGCTACCTTTCCATCTTTCCCTTCATCTTTCCGATTCTGCATTTTTCAGTTCTTTATATTTAAACAGATCATGTGCTGTGGCCCCTAACCTGGTTTCTCAGCGGCTCATAATGTTCCCCTTTCCAGGATGCTCTGGCTAGCCTTCTCCCCTGTACCCTGCTGCCCTTCCCTCATCCTTTAGTTAACCTTTGTCCCTGTCACCCTCCCAAACCAAAACTCAGTTGAGCCTTCAGCTGGAGTTCTACCAAGAAGACAGTCACCAGGACCGAGGTTTCTAATCTTCCCGCTTTCCTCATTTTGGGCACACACCCCTTTTTTTCACTCAGAACTCTCATTAATAGGTAGTTATTTTTAAATTGAGATAAAATTTACATAAAAACACTTCACCATTTTAAAGTATACAATTCAGCTACATTTGTACATTTAAGCATTGCACAACCACCACTCCTGTATAGTTCTAAAACATTTTCATCAGCCCAAAAGGAAGCCCTGTACCTATTAAGTACTCACCCCACCTCTCCCCCTTGCACCTTCTCTCTATACTTACAGCTCCCTAGTTGCTTTTTGTGACTTTACTGATCCTCCCCCATTTCATATAAACAATCTCATTCAATACTAGTATTTTTGTGTCCAGGGAACCCCCCTTTCACTGGTTTTCATGAACCCCTGACTCTTTTTGCTGCAGATGCTCACAAAACATCCAGGAAGAGACCTCAGGGACTATGGCCTTGGTTTGGTTTTAACTTGATGCTAAGACATCATCATTTCAACATACAGACTTTTCTGTTTAGGTTCCCTAGTTTGTGGTTTCTTCCTTTCTGCCATGGGCCCTCTCTTGCTTTTGCCTGGAACTCAGAGTAAATAGTTCCCTCTACAGGCTGGTACTGTTTTTCCCTGGGTATGAGCTTCTATTTCTCTCAAACCCCCTTTGTATATTGTGCTTCGAGAAACCCACTGCAGCAAAGGACTCCTCTCCATTCCAAAGCAGCGGTAACGTATGTCTTAATGTGCTTTCTAAACAACCTGGTCTTTTGACTTAATAGGAATTATCCATAATGTGAAAATGTTTGGAATTATCCATAATGTGAAAGAAATTGTTAAAGATAAATTTATTTCCCTTTAGGAAAGGACATTACATAATTTACTTATATTTCAAATTCGTAATGAATTGAGTCAGGCATTACAGGGT